AATCCATTACTACTTTCTTCAAGTTGATCATCATCATCATCATCGTCTTTTAATGACCCCACAATCCCTTGTGGGGTGGAGTCCAGGCAACTGAATGGAGCTGAGTGTTTACTGGCCAGATGCCCTTCCTGTTGCCAATGCGGAGTGATATTCAGCAGGCATGAGCTCAACGTGCCCAGAGAGAAATATTTGCCTGTCAGGGGTGGGCTTCAAAATTTTTAGCAAGGGGTTCTCTGCCCAGTTGCTGGGTGGGTGTGGTCATGGTGGGCATGGTTTGGTCGGCCTCCTGCACCACCGGGGGGGGGGGTCAAGAGGCTTTCCTTGAGCCTCCAGGAGGGCGGAAACGGCCTCCCCAGGTTCCGGAGGCCCTCTGGAGTTCCCCCCGAATTTCTGTTAGGCCATTTTTCACAATCTCTGAGCTTCCGTGCACGCCCTGCACTTACCTGCATCCAAAATGGGGCATGGAGACTCCGATGAGGTGCAAGGTGGGCGGGGCCAGCCAGGAGTGGGATTTGTGGGTTCTCTGAACTGCACAGAATCTTAGCTAGAGCTTCTTCCGAACCCCTGTGAACCCCCAGCACAGCCCATCCCTGCTGCCTTTACCTAGGATTGAACTCAAAGTCTCCTGATTGTGAGGCGACAGCTCCACCTCTAAGCCACCACATCACTCACTTTCTTCAAGTTGATGCTCTCCAAATATTCTTACTTCAACTTCCATTGTACCAATCAGTGTCCCTACACCTGTTGAGAATTTGGGAATTGGTTTCCCAATTGGCTTAGTGGATCTTGGTCTCATCGATTTATTCAAATTATGAAATTAATTGTTCCCTATCTTTCCAGAAATGATTTTCCATAAAGCTAGCGAAGAGAACAAATGAACACTACAGGAACAATTGAGATACACAGCTTCTTAATCCTTCGTAGAACATTTAGAAGATGAACCATGACCCACAACCTGGTCTTAGAATATAGAGAGAAAATAAAGAGCCGTTCAAACACTGTCTTTGTCAGAGTTTGTTGCAGAAATCACACCCAGAAAGCCCACCCAGATACTGTCACTGATTCGTCAGGATTCATTAACTTCTTTATATACATAACAACACATGAGTAAATGTACAATACCAATAGTGGATTCTCCAACATGGTAGTAGTTACAAGCAAAACACAGGCAGAGTAAAGATTGGTTTCAGTTAAGAGCTTAATACAGCTAAGCCACACCCAGACATCTTACTTAAGTTTCTGTTTCCAAACAGCCCTCATTGGCTGAGTTAGTTGCTATGCCTATTCATTGGCTGACCTTGTTACCATGTCCTATTCCAGCCAGTCCCCAATGGCTGACCTGTTGCTATGTCCTATTCCAGTTCATGAATATTATGACAGTCTTCTGTCAGATAGGGCAAGAAACCCACCATCTATTATGTGCTGATTCCCTGATCAATCAACTAGAAAGATCCCCTAACTCTCACTACCTAAAATAAATACATTTCACACACACTGTATTTACCCCCCTCCCCAGTATATGTTGTGTGCATTCAGTGTGCATTGCTTTTTTTAAAAAAATGAGCAATTGCTGTAAGCACAGCTTTCTGACCACCTGTTGCTTTTAAAAACTTAGGCAGGTTGTGATGGCGTTCAGCCAAGTTTGCAACCTGGTGCTTTCCCAATAGTTGTAACCATGGTTACCTGTACATTATGTGTGAGTATTGGAGGGGAGGAAAACCGAATTCTGAATAAGGGATGCAGACAAGGTCTAGAAAGAGAATGTTTAACTTCTATTGCTCATTTTTTTAAAAAAA